CCCTTATCTGAGTAGCATCGCAGGCAGGGTCATTGTGGCTTCTGACCTGGCTTTGTTCTGCAATGCTGCAGCCTTGGGAAGCACTCTTCTTCTGTTGGGCGTTCTTCTGCCTATAGCAGAGCGCTGCCCAGGCGGTGGTGGTGGTCAGTGCCTCAGTATGTGGATGGAGATGATGTGGTGACACCCCTGAGGGACAGGGTGACGTCCTGAGAGACCAAAGCAGAGGGAATGCTTCACTGCGTCTCCTTGGAACGGGCTGGGGGAGCTCCTTGGCCATTAATCCTGTGGGACTGTTGGCTCTCCAGGTCTGCCCTCGGGAGTCTGTTGTTTCTGGGAAATGGCGTAGTCGAGTGGTATTTCAAAGGGTTCATTCTGATCCTTTTATCCATTGTCCTTTCTCCTTTTTGCATTTTCCACTTCTTGATTCCTCTGAATGAGTGAGCAGAGGGAGGAGGCAGGGCCCTGCCAGGCGTTGCCCTGCATTAGAAGGCAGCCTTTGGGGGTGGGTCCCATCCTGGCATCGTGCTCTGAAAGCTGCTGTTCCTGACCAGTACTCTGTTACAACCCTTCATTCGCGTCCTGGGGCCTTGTCACAGCCTCACTGGTCATGCTGGCACCTTCACAGATACGAGTTGGCAGCCCGTGGCTGGGGTGGGTGCACTGTTTGCTGGATGGCAAACCAGCTGATGGCCGGGACCTGAGAGGTGGTGAATAGAGTGCTGTCCTGCTGACGAATGGCCACGAGCAGTGTTACACAGGGGTCAGTACTGGGGGTGGCCCTGTTCGGTATCTTTATTGGTCATCTGGACGAAGGCGTTGAGTGCACCCTTAATAAGTTGGTGCGGGACACTGAGCTGGGATGAAGCACTGATCTGCCCAGTAAAGGAAGGCCCTACAGAGAGAGCTGGATGCGCTGCATTGATTACTGGGCTGAAGAAAATGGGATGAAATCTAGCAAAAACAAATGCTGGGTCTTGCTTTTTGGTCACAACAGCCCCATGCATTGCTACAGGCATGAGATGGAGTGGTGGAAAGGTGTGCAAAGGAAAAGGATCTGAGGGTATTGGCTGATGCTCGGCTCACCATGAGCCAGCAGTGTTCCGGGTGGCCAAGGAGGCCGATGGCATCCCAGCTTGTGCCAGAAACAGTGCAGCCAGCAGAGCAGGAGGTGCTCATCCCTCTGTACTCAGCTGTGGTGAGGCTGCACCTCGGTGCTGTGCTCAGTGTTGGGTCCCCACTGCAAGCGAGACACCGAGGCCCTGCAGCGTGCAGAGAGGTTGGAGCGAGGTGTGCCCAGGTAACAGTGATAGAACAAGGGCTGATGGCGTGACTTTGTGCCCAGGGAGGTTCAGGTTGCATATTAGAAACAATTCCTTCTTGGAAAGAGTGGTGATGCAGTGGCACAGCTGCACAGGGAGGTGAGGGAGTCAGTGCCCCTGGAGGTGCTCCAGAACCGTGGAGATGTGGCACCTGGGGATGTGCTCAGTTGCCATGGCTTGGGGTTGACCTGGATGAACTTTGTGGTCCTTTCCAACACTAATGATCGTGTGATTCTGTGACGTGTGCCTGGTGAAATTGCAGAGCACCCATCCCTGCTGCTGTTCAGAGCCTCCTCTCACAGGGGTGAGCAGCCCTCTGGGGCTGACCTCAAGAGATCCCTCCCAGCCCCAGCTGTTCCGTATTTCTGCTGGACCCGCTGTACCAAAGCTGTATTTGGGGATCTGCGGCCCTTGCTTGCAGCCCTCACTGTGTGCTCATAGAATCCTATGTCTGTGGGGTCACAGCTCAGGGGATGGGAGCTCGTCACGTTTACCCCGGGTTGTGGTGTGGCCACAGTTGCCCTGAGATCATGGAATCACAGAATGGCCTAGGATGAAAAGCCCCACAGCACTCACCTGGTTGCAACCCCTGCTGTGTGCAGGTCGCCAACCAGCAGCCCAGGCTGCCCAGAGCCACATCCAGCCTGGCCTCCAATGCCTGCAGGGATGGGGCATCCACAGCCTCCTTGGGCAACCTGTGCCAGTGCTCCACCACTCCTCTGTGGTTTTGTTTAATCTCAGTAGATTCACACAGCGCTTAATTTGTCATGGTTTCTGCCCACTGTGCGAAACAAGGTCAGCAGTGATTAGAAAAAGGGATAATTACTGCCCTCCAAAGAGACGTTTGCTTGGGCTTTCACTCTTAGTCCCAGTGACTATTTTAAAACTAATTTGTTCTCTTTCTACTGTCACAAATGGGTCTGCTGTGCAGCTGTGCTCCCTGGATGTGGTGGTTGGAGTTTGGAGTTCCCAGGTCTCAGTGCAGAGCTGGGCGTTGCATTGTGCTGCATTTAGTGTGTGCAGTTCTGTCAGCTCTCCATTCCGTCCCAGTGTCACGGGTTGCTTCACACTGACTTCAGTCCCAGTAGTGATGAAAAAGGGTCTTCTGGGCAGTGTAGACATGAGGAGTCGCTTGTGTTCTGCTTCATTTTCTTTCCTTGCAGGTATAAAATCTCAATTCTTGCACAGCAGCACTGCGCTCTGCTTGTGGTCTGGTGACCTCTGCCTGGTTTGAATTCTGGTCACATCAAAGTGTGTTGTTCAGGTCCAGCTTTGCTTACACTCAGGACACGGGATGTGACTGTTGTTGTGCTGTTTGCTGAATGGAAATTTGTGCACAGATCTGATGACACTCCATCAGTATTCAGGATCACAGAATGGTTGGGTTGGAAGGGACTGCAAGGATCACAAATCCCCAACCCCCTGCCACAGCAGGGCCACCAACCTCCCCGTTTCACAGCAGCCCAGGCTGCCCAGGGCCCCATCCAACCTGGCCTTGAACACCTCCAGGGATGGACGGGGCATCACAGCCTCTCTGGGCAGCTGTTGCAGCCCCTCACCGCTCTCACAGCACAGAACTTCCCCTGACATCCAACCTCCATCTGCCCTCCCTCAGCTTCAAACCATTTCCCTTGTCCTGCAGTATTGGGTCAGGAAGAAGTGATAGGTGTAAGAAGGGAGTGCACAGGATGGGATATTTTGCAATATTGCAAGCGGCTCCAAGAGGTGAAGTGGGAAGAACTGAAGGTGTCACGGTAGCGCAGTGCTTGAGTTGGCCTGCAGTTGGTTCACATGCATTTTCAGTAGTGCAGGTGTGCTGGTACGAGGCGATACATAATTCCCACGTATCTTGCAATATAGCTTGATTTTATTCCAGTAAATTCTATTGTATTTTATCCAGAAGTCTGCACAAGTGATGTGAGATGCTCACAGTTGGTACCAGAGGCACAGCAGCTGGGGCTGCGGGCTGTGGATGAGCTCTTCCCTTTGTTGCTCTCCAGCAGCACACTCTTCCCCAGCCCTACACAATGTCTTGCCTGGAATTTCCTTGCATTCTAAAATTAGGAGAAGGATTCAAGGAACAATGGCAAATCAAGCTCTGCGTCTCCTGCTCTGCTTGGGGCTTTGTTGTCATGTAGACTTTCACCTACTTCCTTTCTTCTTAAACTGATTTTGCATTAGATAAACTGAATTAAAGAGAGCTCGTGCTGCTTGACGTCAGAAGGGCTTTGCTTTTCTGCTGCAAAGCTGTTGGTCCATGGCAGAGAAGGGTCTGCAGTCAGATGATGGACCTCATCGTGGTCCCTTCTGTGGGGAGAGCTGCTCTCCTCGTGGTCTGTGCATCTTTTTCCTGATACCCGGGGAGGGACAGATTGGGAATCAGGAAAAGGTTCTGCAGTGGATGTGGAGCAGCTGCTAAGGGCAGCAGGCACAGCGCTGAGCTGCCGGAGCTCAGGAGGTGTTGGGATGCTGCTCTCAGACCCGGGGTTTGCAGAGCTGCTGCGTGGGGCTGTGGGCTGGACCTGCTGCTCCTTATGGGTCCCTTCCAACGAGGGGCTTTCTGTGATTGTGTTCATTGCTTCACAATCACCAGTTTGTTCCTTGTGCTTTGTTGGCATCGTGGGTTATTACCTGTAAAGGTTTGGTTGTCTGAACCCTCTGAACTGGTGGGGACGACCCAGAGCGCTCTGTAGTGTGGCAGAAGGCAAATGCATACAGGCAAAAAGACTTCAGCACTATTGCAGATGTGTGGAATGGGCTCTGGATGTACCTGGGGGTTATAGGTGAGCTTTTTAAGCTGTCTGACTTTCTGCAGTGCCTTATGACTGTCTGTTATCCCAGCACAATCCAGGAAATGCAGCAAACACCACAGCTTGGTTTCCATCCTGTCCCATACTCCATATCCAGCAGTAGAAGCAGCTGCAGGACTGTAGGAGCTGCTTATTGTGATGCTTGGTGTAAAAATACTGAGAGCTGTTAATGACTGCAAAGAGGGTGTCTGATTGGATCTTCCAATTTACCACCAAATAATTAATTTCCAAAGTCAGGGGCGTGAAGAAGTCGGGTACTGTTGGACTAGCAGACCTCTAAGGGTCACTCTGAGTCCATGAGTTTCTATGAGAAATGTTTGCTTTCCTCCTCCAGTTCTTGGTTCTTGGGTCCTGCAGACAGTTTACTCTCTTTTCTTCCAGTCCATGTGGTACAAACATTTCCCTGCAGGTTGGGAACATCTTTGATGTCCTGGCAAGACGAACTGCCATAAGCATCTGCTGTACAGTGAGGGTGGGAGTTTGGTTGGGATGTCCCTTAGTTTTTCTCCTTTGTTGGCTTCTCTGAGCCATGAACATCACAGGTCTGCTGGCAGCTGCTGTGCTGTGACCCCTGCACTGTGCACCACTTGAATGCCTGGGATGGGTGCTCTGTTTCACGGCGCATCGTACAAGGGAAGGAGAAGGGCAGTGATGTGATGGAGATGTTACATCAGTCATTAAGTTAACTTCACTAATTGCTGACTTTCGCCCTCGTCTCTGCAGGCTGTAAATGGGGCTCCCATCTGTGCAGCAGCGCACTTGGAAGCCTCACCAGGGCGCTGAGAGGAGACGATGGGAACTTGGGTTTGCCCTGAGGTGAGAATTGCTCACGGAGCTCCTCTGACCCGCTTCTGTTCTCTTTCTGCCCCAGCCTTTCTTTAGGCTTTTGAACCTCCGTAAGCTGGGCCTGAGTGACAATGAGATCCAGAGACTTCCCCCCGAGGTGGCCAACTTCATGCAGCTGGTGGAACTGGACATCTCCCGCAATGGTAAGGCCGGCTCCGTGCCCCTCGGCACCACATCTCTGCACTTCTGCTCTGAAAGAGGCGTTTCCCTTTCGCAGTGCTGCAGAGTGGTCCATCGTGGGGCTGGAGCTGTGAACATATCAGCATTCACTTGTCTTGCTGTGTCTCAGGCTGTCACTGGTACCAGGTGTCCTGTTTGCTACACAATAGACTCCTTCCGGTTCTCTGTTTCTTTCACGTCTTTTGTTTCCCCCAGACATTCCAGAAATTCCAGAAAGCATCAAATTCTGCAAATCCTTGGAGATCGCAGACTTCAGTGGGAATCCCCTTTCCAGGTAGGAGGGTGCATTGCAGCCCCTTTGTGCAGCTGGGAATGAGAGCTGAAGTTCTCCATCCTTTTTCCTGTCTGCATCTCGCAGTCGTCTTCCCTTTGCCAAGACCTTTGCTTGTCTGCTCCATGACACATGGGACATTCGGCACAGGGAAGAGCTGGTGCCAGTTCCTTCTTCTGCAGGGTCTGTGGCTTGGCTCCTGAGGTTTTGTTCATGTCGATGCCACTGCTGTGGGTGGCAGGGACTTCTGTCCTCCTAGCATAGGTTGGTTCCTCTCTTCCTCCTTCGCTGTGCTGCACAAAGCAGAGTGGGTGAGGACTGAGTGGATTACAGAGGATGGTAGGAAAGCTGCATGTTGTCATTCGTTATCTCTTGGACCCTTTTGCTCTTGGCTTTGTTTATAGCTTAGGATGAAATTGTTGGGTTGTTTTGGTATTACAGTGGCCAGAACTATGCCCAAGAGCAGCACTTTGCCTTCTCTACAGTATTCTGGCTCTACTTGCCTCTATTCTGGCTGTCTTGCGAAGTTCTGGCTTTTCTGCCTTGAGGAGCCATGCTTCCAGGCACTGATGCTGTGGCGTGTTGTCTGCTGGAGCCCCTGGAGATAAGTGCCAGTCTGTCTCCCCATGCCCACTGCTCTTCATACTGCTGGGCAGCTGCTTCCCGATTCACGTTTGAATAGATTTAACTCTGCTTCCCTCTGGTGGTGCCAAACACTGGCAGAAGGGCAGAAGCTTTTCAGTCGCTGGGGATCTCCAAGCACAGGTGTGACATGTAGTACCACGGGCACTTCAAACCCTGCAATGATTTGTCAGTTTCTGTGGCTCAGAGTTGTACGACATGTGTCGTTTGCTCCAGGAACAGCCTATGAACAGGAAAGGATTTCTGCTCTTCAGGGTCTTTCCTTCCTCTGTGATACCTCAAAACTGTTTTGGTAATGCTGCCTGATCCCGGGGAGTGCAGCAGTATCCATTGCTGAGTGTTTGGGTTGGTAGCTCACCCTCCCTCCTTTCAAGTTTTGGTGAATGACCTGGCACAGTTTGGGGTTGGTGCTTAAATACTTCAGAGACGTGTTTGTCACTTGGACACGCAGCAACTTTGGTGCAAGGGAGTGATGGCATCTTGGAAACGGAGCACGGCCTGGGTCAGGGCTGGTTCCTGCTTCTCCCTTTCACACCTGCTATACCAGTTGGGGTGGGACTGGCTGCCGCGAATGTGAGCAGAGAGCTCAGCACTGGGTTTGTGCTCAGCACTGATGGTGTTTTGTTCTGTTGTCTGTTCACAGGCTTCCTGAGGGTTTCACGCAGCTGCGCAGCCTGGGCCACTTGGCCCTGAACGATGTTTCCCTTCAGAGCCTCCCCAACGACATCGGGAAGTGAGTGTGGCTCTGCTGCTCAGCAAGGAGGGGAAGGTGGGAGTGGGGCACCGTGCTCACTTGTGCCCTGCAGCTACACAGTGCTGCTCTCCTGGACGTACTGCACCTCTGGGTATTCTCCTTGTTGTGAAAGGCAGCCTGTGAGAAGGTTCCTTTCCTTTCCAGCTGCTTATATTACTTACAATCAATGGCAGAGGCAAGGAGTAAATCCTGGCCTCCCAAGTCCTCCCTCTCCCTTTATGCTTGCCCGTTTGCCCCTTTCCAAACAGATGTGCTCTGTCCTGTGATGATGAAATGATCCACGCACTTGTGCAGGCCACTGGGGGCTGTCTCAAGGGAAGGGATATGAGTATCTTGTTGTATTTCTGTCCTTCCAGTGAATCTGGCCTTCTCATTCCCTTTTCTCTTGCAGTCTGGCAAACCTGGTGACTTTGGAGCTACGGGAGAACCTGCTAAAGACTCTACCAACGTGAGTGTCACGTGGCTTCAGAGGTCTCCTGCCCCATCACTCCTCCTGATCCGTTGTGGACTTGTAGTAAAGAATCTGTCATTTTGCTTGGGAGAGCTGGAAGCTTTGATTAGGTCAGCTGCATCTTGCTGCAAGCCTCTAAATTGCCGTGAGGAGGGAGAGAAATGGCACAGGGCTCCAGAGCAGGGGAAGGTGCTGTGTCAGGTCTGATTTTTGAGCAGACAGGGTTCTGTGAGGATCCTTATTCCTCCTCAGGTAGAACAAAAGATGATTGTGTTGGAAAAAGAGGAGAAAAGTGTTCTGATGTGGGTGTTGGAAGAGCTCTGCTTTGAAGCCCATACAAAGTGTCTGCTGCATCTCAGTCAGCTCTGTCAGCTTGTATTCTGCCTGCCTGTCCATCCAGCTAACTTCTGACTCCTGTATGTCAGAAGGGATTCCAGCTGACTTTTTTTGAATAGCAGTGAGTTTTGTGGCCACGCTCTGTCTTCAGTGGCTGTACTGTCACCCTTCCTTAGCATCCTTGCTGTTCGTGGCAAGTATTCAGTCTGGCTGCCTGCGTTTTCTTCTACATTCTCCTATTTTGTTTTAAGAGGGCAAAAGAAGCTTCCAATGAGACAAGTACTGCAAGTATTTGGAGTTTCAGTCTGCTGCTTCTGTGACAGCTGTGCCTCCCCCTCTGCAGGACGCTGCTGTGACTCACGCATGCTCTTCCTGGTAGTTGTTTTCCTGTGAGATCTGCAGGCACAGGGTCTGTATGGCATCAGTTACATCTACCTGTAGAATCAGCTGAGGCCCTTCAGACAGTCCTTTCCAAAACAGAGCTGATTCTGCACTGAGCAGCTCCCAGCCGTCGTGCCTGGTGAGCACGCAGTGATAGAAGCTTAGTTCAAATTAACTCTGTCATCTCATCCTGATCCCAAAGTCCCAAAGACCTTCTGTGCACAGAAGCTGACGCTGAAGCCCTGCTGCAGGAAGGTCGTGTCCTCATAATATCTCCAGCTGAGGAGAGCCTGTGTGGAATAGAGCCACAACAGTGAAGGCGAGAGCTGAAGCTGGATGAGTTCGGATCTGGTGGTGATGCCCACTGCTGTCTTTGGATGAGTTCAGTGTTCCTGCAGGCAGAGGCTACCATGTGATAAACTGCATGAGAAAAGAAATACATCCAGTAGCTGCATTCAAAACTGGGCTTCCAAGCTGCCATGAAGAATGATCCCAGTGGCTTTTCGCTATCTAGGGACACCAGGAAGCGTGCAGATCTTGAGAATTCAGTCTGTGACAAAAACCCAAATGTTTTCTGGGAAATCTCGAGAGCCCCCGTGTTCCTTTGGTTCCCTGAGTTCCCTCGTAACACGCTCTGAGTTTGGGGATTTTTCCCTGAGCATTAAATACGGTCTGCATGCTCACTCTGCAGCACAGTTCCATCTTCTTTGCATGTTCCACCATTGACAGGATCATGTCCAAAGCTAGAGTCCTAAAGGCCAAGGCAATTTGTGTCAGATCTATTTGTCAAATATGAGATCTGTACTTAGCTACAAACTGTGCCCAGGAATGACTTTAAACAAGTCCAGCACCCTTCTGGTTTTTATTGCTCTTCCAACTTGCAGCGACCTTAACTTGTCCAAGTGTGAATTCATGGGCTGGCCTTCGATCCATGCTGTACAGCTATTGCTGCTCCTCATCTCTCCCACGTGGTGGGGACGTCCTGCCAGTCACTTGGAAGCATAGTTTGTGTTGGTGTGTTCTCATGGAATGGTGAGGGCGGCTCTGTACTGATGCATCTCGTAGGACCTCACATCAGCTTGAATCCTTGTGGTTCACCCGGCCCTGTTTTGGAAACCAAACTGCGAAGGTGCTGAGGTAGAGTCAGGGCTGCTTCATACTTAGAGAGGTCAAAGAGCAAATGTACAGTTACAGCAGGAGTCCAGGCACTGGATGTGATGATCCTCATGGGTCCCTTCCAGCATGGGTTGCTCTGTGATTCTGTAACGAGATGCTGTTATCCAGCAGAATCCTTCTGGCAGTGTAACTGATAAGCCTTTACTTGAGTTAATATCTCCAAATCCACTGCTGCAAAATGCAAGAACTTGCTCTTCCCATGTAGTGCCCTTATTTTACTGCCTGTGTCCAGCAGGCCAGACTTCTTACTGCCTCCAGTACCTCAGTGTGGGAGCTGCCGAGATGCAGAGCTGTGCTGACAGACTAATGCAGTGGCTTCCTTATGAGGACAGTCCCTTATAGAGAAAATAAAGAGGTCTGAAGTCTCTCACTGTGGAGCGTAGGCAGGGTTTAAATGGGATTTGTGCCTCGCTGTAAAGGAAGAGCCAGCAAGCCCTGTTTAAGGGAGTAGTTGTTGGAGCTGATGGGTAGAACTGAACTGAGAGCACCTGGGCCACGTCAGAAGAACTGAGTGCTGTTGTGGGGTTGCCTTCGATATCAGCAGTGTGTTTTGGGTGCAGTCTGTGCATTCTTTGGGCCGCTGCTGTTGACTGACTGTGGTTCCTTGCAGGCTTCTTGCAGCATCTTGCCTGGTGATCTCCTTGTCTGTGTGTCTCAGCCTCTGCTGAGGCAGCGTGGCCGTCCCATTGCGCACTTCAGGGCTGCCCACTTTTTCATTCTTGCCTCTCCCTGCGGCTCTGCTTCCCTTGTCTCCTGGATACGTGCGGTCCTCTGCTGTTTCCCATGGTTTGTTGCTCTGTGATCCCCTCCTTGCGACAAAATGGGCAGCAGTGTTGAGGTGTGGCCCGTGGACTGTCGTGTTTTTGCTCAGGTGATGCTTTGTGGTGGGAGGAGGAGAGGGCAGATGGGTGACAGTGGAAACTGCCTACTTTGGAGCTGCTGATGCTGCTGAATGCAGTTCCCTGTGCAGACTTTCTGATGGCAGGAAGGTGTCAGTGTCCCTACATTGGTTGGCCCAGAGCACGGAAGGGGTGGGATCAGTGCTCCATCAGGTTTAGGAATTATTCAGAATGGTGTGATTTTTTTGAGATGATGCTTAACCCTCTGTCCTTTCTTCCTTTCCCTCCTCTCATTTCTACTCCCCGTGTTTTGCAGTTCACTCTCATTCCTTGTCAAGTTAGAGCAGTTGGATCTTGGTGGCAATGACCTGGAAGTCCTGGTAGGTGAAGGGTGGTGGGAAGGAGCATGGGTGGGAGGGGGCAGCACCTGTACCTTTGTGCATGTGAGCGGGTTTTTGTCTGAAGTGCACAGAAACGGACCCTCAGGCTGTATGGAAGGCTCTGCCCAATCGTTGCTCCCAGCATAATTTTCCTTTGCTACATTGGCCCTTCTTTCTGTTCTCATGCACACCTCGTTCTGCTTTTTCCAATCCTGCTCTGAGATGTTCTCTCGAGCTATGCAGCTGCCAAAGGATTTTCCTTTCCAAGGAGGTTCTGTCTGATACTTCCTTTCGCTTCTGTGCTGCACTGTTGTTTCTTTTCATTGCTGCTGGGCCAACTTTATCTTTCCCCTTTCTGATTTTATTTCTCAGCCAGAAGGTGAAGGGCCATCCCACATTACTCCTGGCAGCAGTGTCAGCCCAGCACACAGTGTGTGCCCTCAGACAGGGGTGTCTCCATGGAGTGCTGAAAGCCTAAGCATGCTGGGAGCCAGCGCTCAGTCCTGAAACCCAGCTCTCCTTTGACTTTGGGGAAAACCCAGTGATATTTTTTCATTTTGCAGCTGCAGATTAAGTTGTTCTTGAATTCTGCCTGTAATGCCTGGAAGGCTTTTTGGCAGAAAGCCCCTCCAGATTGCTGTTTGCCTCTTGTCTTGCCCGCTGCTGGGAGGTCTTTGCTGGTGTGTCCCGTGTTTCTTGCTGGAGCTTTGCAGCCAGTATGGCAGCCCAGACATTCCCAAGCAGATTGCTGCGTGCTGACGCAAAGAGTTTGTACACCTTTGGATAAATGGTTCAGGAGATGTGAAAACAGCAAGAGTGCCAAGCTTTGCAGAGGCTTGGTGGGATTTGGAGGATCGTAGAGCAACTTCTCCTCCTGGGAGGACTGACGCCATACTGTCACGCTGTGTTACAGCCGGATACCCTGGGAGCGCTGCCAAACCTGCGTGAGCTGTGGTTGGACCGCAACCAGCTCTCTGCTCTGCCTCCGGTGAGTACCTGTTCACTGCCTCACTGCTCCACTCCCTCCCTGTGCTGCTGCTTTGAGCCACAGGGTCTCCTTTCCGATCCTAGGAGCTGGGCAATCTCCGCCGTTTGGTCTGCCTGGATGTGTCGGAGAACAAGCTGGAGCAGCTGCCCAACGAGGTCAGTGGGCTGGTAGCACTGACGGACCTGCTGCTGTCACAGAACCTGCTGGAGTGCATTCCAGATGGGATCGGTGAGTATTGGGATGGGAAGTGGGGCAGGGCTCCTCCTTTGGGGAGGCTTCAGGCACGGCTGTGCCCATCAGAGCGTTTGGGCCTGATGGATGCGGTCGCTGGGAGGGTGCAGAAGCAGTAGATGGTGCTGCTGAGCAGAACTGTGCAGGCTGTGTTCGGGTTCTTGTTGTAGAATCACAGATCACATCTTGATCTGTGTTGTAGAATCACATCCTAGAATGGTTTAGGTTGAAGTAACCTCAGAGCTCATCAGTTCCCACCCTGTGCTGTGGGCTCGTTGTCCCCCACCAGGTCAGGCTGCCCAGGGCCCCATTCATGGCTTTGAGAAGCTCCAGGGATGGGGCACCTGCGCCTCTCTGGGCAGCAGTGCCAGGGTCTCATCACTTTTAGGTAAAGGATTTCTTCCTAACACTGGCCTAAACTTCCCTTCTTTTAGTTTAAAGCGATTTCTTCTCTTTCTGTCACACTCTGCATGCGTAGGAAGTCTGTTTCCCTCCTGCTTATCAGGTCCCTTCAAGTTCTGGAAGGATGCATGGGTGGAAAAAGTCCGGTTGGGAGAAAGAGCCTATGTTCTTGGGTTAGGAAATCCCTCTTGGGAGGTATTTAGGGCAGATGATCATAGGACAGCGTAGCTCTCTGTGGCTTAGTTCACATTTGCTTGTTGCTCCGAGCAGGTCAGCTGAAGCAGCTCTCCATCCTCAAGGTGGACCAGAATCGGCTGACAGAGGTGACGGAGTCAATTGGGGACTGTGAAAACCTATCAGAACTCATCCTGACAGAGAACATGCTGACAGTAAGTATACCAGCAGCCATCCTGGGATAAATAGTGGGCATGGAACAGGCTGTGAACCTGAGGGAGAAGCTGTCCTGAGGCTGTAGTGGGAATTGCTGGAATCTCGTCTTGTTAGGACAGAAGGCAGTTCTTTTCCTTGTCAAGAAGGCTCTATACCCATTCTGCTGTCCTTTATTAGCCACTGAATGGTGTCCCTCTTAGGCCTTACCCAAATCCCTTGGGAAGCTAACCAAGCTGACAAACCTGAACGTGGATCGGAACCGTTTGACGTCCCTTCCGGCTGAGATCGGGGGCTGTGCCAACCTGAACGTCCTGTCTCTGCGAGACAACCGCCTGGCCCTGCTGCCAGCAGAGCTCGCCAACACCACCGAGCTGCACGTCCTGGACGTGGCAGGAAACAGGTCAGCAGGAGGGTGAAAGGCTGCGGGTGTCCGAAGTGTCCGTGGGCACCTGTGGGCAAACAGTTGTTTGCAGTGCAGGCCTGCAGTTGATGCAGTAGTGTGGTTGTGGCAGAGCCACGTGCCCCATGAATCGCTGCTTCTGTGCGTACAGAAGTGGTGGACCTGCAGTCCCTCTGTCCTTATCTGAGGCAGGCTGGAGCTGAGTGGAAGTGTCATCGTTACCACTATGTTTAACCATCCTTCTTTCTCTTGCAGGCTCCAGAATTTGCCCTTTGCTTTGACAAATCTTAACCTGAAAGCCTTGTGGCTGGCAGAAAACCAATCCCAGCCCATGCTGAAATTCCAGACAGAGGATGATGAAAAGACGGGAGAAAAAGTTCTCACGTGCTACCTGCTTCCCCAGCAGCCCTCTCCTAGCCTAGGTAAGAGATTGTGGGGAAAAACTGGAGGGTCTGGGGGGAAAGGAGGCTGAGGGGAGACCTGATGGCTCTCTTCCAGTACCTGGAAGGGGATTGCAGCAGAGCGGGGCTGCTCTCTTCTCACTGGTGACGGGACGAGGGGAAATGGCCTCAAGTTGTGCCAGGGGAGGTTTAGCTTGGATCTCAGGAGGAACTTCTCTACAGGAAGGGCTGTTCAGCACTGCAATGGCTGCCCAGGGAGGCGGTTGGGTCCCCATCCCTGGCTGTGTTTAACAGCCATTGGATGTGGTGCTCAGGGCCGCGATTTAGCAGAGGTGGGGTGGGATGGTTGGGCTGTGGTTGGACTCGATGACCTTTAAGGTCTTTCCAACCTGAGCAATTCTATGATTCTGTGCTGTGAACGCTTCCAGCAGTGCTGTGTACATCAGTCCAGAAAGTGATGTGGAGGAGAGACCACAAACCTCTCTGCCTGGTTGCACCGTTCTTGGTTACTGCAGTGGCTGCAGCACACTTTGACTCCTATGGGCTGATGCCAACTTTCCAAGGCAGAGGCTGCTAAAAGCATGAGAGTTCTGCAGCCTCGTCTGCAGATCATCTGCTGTATCTACTGACCGGGTAGTGTGTTATCTGTGAGGTTTGCTTCCTGTTGCAGTAGTGTAACTGTGTTAATGCTTCTGATCTGTGCCTTCGTCCGACCTTTTCCTCTAGTCCTTAAGATGTGAGCCTGAACCCTTCACTAGGGTTCTGTAGAAGCTGCCACATACAGAGGTGAGAAGATCTGGAGGTGCATCCGATGCATCAGAGCCCTCTGCTGTGGGCTGATAGAAGTGTCCTGATAGGCTGAGAGCTGTCTTTCGTCCAAGCACGCAACCCTATGTGTTCAGAGAGTAGCTCCCACTCTGTTGTCTTTCTCCCCAGAGAACCTTCTGCAGAACAGCGTGGATGAGAGCTGGACGGATACGAACTTAAACAGAGTCAGCGTGATTCAGTTCCTGGATGACCCCAAAGGAGACGATGAGGATGAATCTGGAGCTGAGAGGCGGGTAAGGAGTTCCTGCAGGGTTGTAACCTTCCTCTGGAAGCGTGGGCACAGCGTTTTCGTTGCAGACAGACTCAAAAAGGATGGCAGATCATTTTCCTTTAGCTACAGATGCAAAGGGAAGGATAGAAGTTTCGGCTTACAGCAAATATTTATTGGTTTAAATCCCTTGCAGAATATTTTCCCTTTTTTCTTTATCTTGTGAAGAGAGATGATCTTAATCTGGATCCTTCATATAAAACGTATTTGCACCTGGCCTTCCAGCACAGAGATGATTTTTCTGCTGCTGCTTGGAATGTCATCCCCCATTTCTTTCCTCTTCCCAGCTGTACAGGAATGGCAGAGAAATCAGGTCCTGCAGTGTGACGTTTGGGTCGCATCCAGCCGGGGCTCCACTGGTCTGATAGAACATGTGGTTTGAACTGATCCACTTTTAGGGCTGCTCTCACTGTGAAATCCCATGCTTTGTGTTCTCCTTCGGTAGGGCTTGCAGCGCAGGGCAACCCCTCATCCCAGTGAGCTGAAGGTGATGAAGAAGGTGATCGAAGTTCGGCGCAGTGAGGTCTGTGCTGCAAAACCTGGCACAGACCTGAATTCATCCAGCTCAGAAGTGAGTGCTGTTTGCTGAGAAACGGAGACTGCAGAGAACACGCAGCAGCCTGGGGAATGGGGAGGCTGTGTTTGTAAGCTGGGCAAAAAAAAAAACAACTTTGGGAAGTGTGGGAACAGGGTGAGGATGGACTGCCTGCATTCCATGGGTTCGAACCCACCTTGGCTCAGCTGGGGCCACTGAGATGGGGCGGGAGGCGTAGCCAGGACGCAGAGAAGGGCACAGGGGGAGGACTGTGTGCTACTTCTGTCATAATGCAGGGAGAGGAAGTCACTGATTTTCTGCATGAAGACTGGACCCGAGTGCTGGGGGATGGTGCATTGCTGCACAGGTGTGATGCTGACCGTAGATGCCAGCGTCAGTGGTGACACAGGTGGAGCTGGGTGAAACGGCAGCCTGAAGAAAAAGCCAGCTCTGTTGGCAGTGGAGCATATTCCATTTTGCAGCAGTCTCATTGCAATGCACCACTTCCCGCCTGGGCTTCCGTCTTGACTTTTACGATCTGTCGTCTTCTCAGGAAAAGAGACTGAGTGCCACCTCCAACCGCAGCGAGGACTCCCATCTGTCCAACAGCACCGTCTCTGCTGACTGCAGGGCAGAGGAGCAGGGAGAGGAGAGGCAGAGGAGCCGGCCGAATGGGCAGGTGCTGGAGATGCAGGAGCTGGAGAAGGAGGCCAAGCCAAGAGCTGAAGAAGAGCGTAAGGAAGCGGTTGCCCAGGAGGATGAAGATGTGGAAGTGGAATACAATGAGGTAGGAATCTGGGAAGTGCAGTGGGATCCAGTTAAGGACTGGGAGGATGGAGAGTTTCTGGGGAAATGGTGAATGGATGTACAGAGTGTGATTTGGGCATTGCTGAAGGCAAATGAAGGGCATGGCATGTGACTGCAGGTAGAGATTTGGGGGCCCTGGTGTAGCTGGGTTCATTGAGGACGAGGAAGGAAACATGGAAGCCAGACAGCAGCTGTGGGTGGCCGTTTTGGGTGCCCATGGAATGATAGATGTGTCCAGGTGAAGGTGCTGATATTGGGCGGGGGGGGAGCAGCAGTTAGAGGGAAGCTAAGATGTATTCCTGCATCTTCTGTGGTGTGAAAGCAGAAGTGCTGGCTCTGCCTGTGTTGGTGTTGGAGGGACAGCAGATGTCTGGCTGTTATCTGAGGCTCACAGCCTTTCTGGGCCTTTGCCATTGCAGCCCACTGTACACTTTGCTGAGGACACACTGATAAGGAGTGAGGATGAAGATGAAGATGAAGAGCGGCCGTTCCCAGTGGAGAAACAGAGGCTCATCCGCAAGGATACGCCCCACTATAAGAAACACTTCAAGATAACTAAGCTGCCCAAACCAGAGGCAGTGGTAGCACTCCTGCAGGGGCTGAACACTGATGGAGTCCCCAAAGAAGAGGAGGAACTGGGCGGCTGCAACAACAGCGCGGAGCCTGAGGATGAGGAGGAAGCGTGGGATGAGGATGACAGGAAGAACGGATCTTTATCTGCTCAGCCATCAGTGAAGGTAAGGTCTTGTGGGACGAGAGGACCGGAGGGTGCCAGAGCTCCCTTCTGCTCCAAGCTGCCAAGAGGGTTGATGTGGCCCCAGTGAAAAAACACTGCGGGCTCCAGCACTTCAGTAGAGATGCACTGAGGGAGGGAGAGCTGAAGCTCATTCTGGGGCTTTTGCAGTCAGTTGTCTGAGCTGTGCCACGCTGTTGTGTCTGACTTCTGGTGCTGTGAGCACGCGCTGCCCGTTACGTGTGATGTTGCGATCTGTGCTGCAAGAACAGTTCTCTTATTGCTGACAGTTCCTCCGTTCCTTTCCGTGCCCTCACCTGCTCTTGTTGCACCTTGTTTGCAATAGGATGATGAGCTGTGTCTCTGGATGGACTTAACCTCAAGCTTGGGTTCAGGCTGCTTGCCACTGCCTTTACGCCACAGTTCTTCCTGTGCTGTGAGAGCAGGTTGCAGCATGTTCTCCTTAGTGCTCCCCTGTGCCTGCCCCAGCTCGGGTGAGGTCTGATGAAGTGTGTATGGCACTTGGGGGAGCTTCTGCTGTGGAGTTCCCCATTTACGTGGGACGGCAGTGGGCCTTTCTGGTCACGCTGGGGGCTGATGAGTTGAGAGGTGCTTGGCTCTGCTCAGATGAACCCCCACCATGGTTGTTTGGTTAGGGACACAGATTCTTGCTGGAGGGAGCTGCTCGCAGTGACAGAGGGATTTACTTCTAGGGGACACTGTGTGAGATCAGAGCACTTCTTGCTGAAACCGATGATGGTTTTATGAAGTGTGCTTGGGAGGCAGAGGTTGGGATGCAGGTGGATCTCTAGGTGTTGGGATCATTTCATCCCCATTCTGGAGTTCAGACTGCACAGGGAAGGCTCCTGTGCTCAGGTTTGGGTCTGTGCTTAGGAATGTTTCTCTCAGTGCATTCTGCCTCGCTGTCTGAGCGATGTTTGCTCCTTAGGGATGAGGTATGCAGCTTCCTTTACTGCCTCTGAAGTTCTTCAGAGCCAGAACTCACTGTGGCTGCTGCTGTCAAGAGTGTGTGAAGCTGAGTGCCGGAGTGCCCTGCATCCACACCTGCCACGGTGGGGAAATGCTGTGACCCAAAGGCTCATTTCAAGCTGGGACTCAAAGCTAAGGAAGCACTGAGCTGTTGGCAAAACCTCCATAGGCATTGAGGCCACAGGTTTGGTACCTGTCAGAAAAAGTCATCTCTGTTACAAGCTCAGCCTTCTGTTGGGAATCACAGTTCTCGTTTTCTTGGGCTGGACTGAATGCCCGCTCCAGATATGAGCTCTCCTCCTGAGCTGATAGAGAAATAGTAACGTAGGGAAGCAGTGTCCCGATGGAGTTTCGTGCAGTGAGGAAGGAGGTGGACCACGGCATGCAGGATGCAAGGTCCTTAAACCAGGACAGCATTCTTTCAGGGGACATTCCTGCATTTGGGATTTGGGAGCACATTTCCCATGTTTGGGAGTGGGATCCCTGGGTGCGTTGTCCCACCAGCAGCGTCTCCCTTACGGGTGGGAGCAGTGCAGTTGGGTTTGGGACAGCCTGGTTCCGTGGGCCGCCAGGTGGCACCACGAGCCATTTCTCTTGGGTCGTTCCATCCTTCTCCTCCACCCTGCAGCTCTGTACGGGGGGGTGAAGGCAGCTAATGGTGCTCAGCTTTGAACTCGGTGGCCACAGCCTCAGCGCCTCGGCACGGACAAAGTGAGGCCTTGAGGAGGCAGCCGTGCTGACGTGCTGCACGCTGTGAGGGGGGAGCTGCCCTGTCCCCATCCTCGCTGGGAGGTGGCTGTGAGGAGCGGTGTGAGCAGGGTCTGCTCGGCGGGCAGCCCTGGCAGAGCGGTGTGCATCTGTGTGTTGTGTTGTGTTGGGTGGTGGTGGTTGTGGTGGCGGGTTTGGTTGATGCTCCACTAATCCGCATGCCTCTTTGCTGGTTCCTGTCCTAACAGGGGGTGTCGTTTGATCAAGCCAATAATCTGCTGATTGAACCTGCTCGCATTGAGGAGGAAGAGGTCTGTACCACTCCCACTGTTCTCTCTCTGCCGAAAATCATTCCGTCTGCTTGATTTGCTTCCCAGGCTCACCCCTTGTTGTAGGGGAACTCTGATCTATTGGGGTCAAGTGGCTTCTGGACCTGACCGATCACCAACACCATGATTGTTTCTTCCTCTGCTTTCCTTCTCCCTGCTCCTTTCCCTCCCTTTCCGTCCCCGAGGTGAGAATGGCTGCTGCAGATCCAGACTGAGATGGGAGAAATGTGAAAAAACAGAGAGGTCACAGGTGGAAGGCTCAGTTCTTATTTGCTGTGCACTGAGGGAGGTGGAAGAAATGGTGTACGTGCATTCAGGAGTCGATGGTAGCCCAGGCAGAGCAGAGGGCTCCAGGATCTTCTGGGTGCAGTGGGATGACCCTTTGGGGTCTGGCATAGAATGGATCTCAAGGCATTGTGCCATCGCATGAAGGAGGTGGACTGGAGTTAGTTAATGATGCTTGCATCTTTGGCAGCCCCTACGGACACCCCCCACCAGGTGTTCTCGTGCAGTGCTTTGGGACATCAGAAAGGTGTGGGTGGCACTGGAGGTGCTCTAAAGCCTCTGTCATGCGTCGTGTTCTGCATCCTGGTTTAAGTGCTGTTTTGCTGTCTTAGCTCATCCTCTGACCAGGATTATTTTCCTGATTTTTTTTTATGTTTTATTTTAATACAAGTTTTCAGCGGGTTTGCTTAATCCCTTTTATCAGTGGTTCTCTGCAGGCAGTATTCACAGAGAGCTGTTGGAAGCAGAATGCTGCTGCCCCTGGCAGGAGGCAGGAGGCAAACAGTAGAAACTGCTTGCGTGGAGGATGCTTCCCTTGGAGACAGCACAGTGGCACCAGACCTGTGTCTTCACTTCTAGAGCTGCTGGCCTGTCTGACCATGAATGTGCCTCTCTGCTCCTCCCTCAGGTGTGCGACGGGGGTTCTTCCCTGGTTTTGGAAGAAGGCTTTGGAAGGGAGATGTCAGATACTTCATTTCTGCTTCGAGTGAAATGGGAGCTGCCTCAACCTGGTGCACTGTTTGTGTGTGCTAAAGGTTTTTTGTATCTCCTTAGCTGTAGGTCAACAGAAAACACATTTACATGTCTTGCAGTCACAGGTAAAGAGGCAGCAGCTCAGTGCAGGCACTTCCTGGTCCTCTATTTGGGAACTGCTCTCGTTCCTCGTTGAGCACTGCTAGACCTCAAGGTCCACATGTGGAGGTTACTGCATGTGCAACAGCCAGGAGCCCTCAGCCTCGTACCAGCAGGCACGCTGCCCGCCCTTCCTTCTGTCTCCTGCCTGTGCTCTGCGTGCATTTGATGGAACTGCCCAGGATTTCTTGGAGACCTCTGGGGAGGGCAGCTGATCAGAGGCTCCATGTTGCTCTGCTGTCCACGTAGTGCCATTCCTTCTTGGTGCAGATCTGCTGTGCAGTGCCACATAAGGTGTGAGGCGGTGCTGCAGCTCGCAAGGACAAAATACTGGAGATTCTCCAAGTGGGTGGGGGCTGAAGGTGCCCCACAGCAGATTAGCTTTGGGGAGCAGATGGTTGTAAGCTCGCAGCGCTGCAATCCCAATCCTTGTCTATTGTTATGCAACTCTTAAAAGAAAATACTGAGTTTTGATTATGGCTTAATACTGAACCCTAATACTGAGTCAAGACCTCATCAGAGCAGAGCTGGAGACATGAACCTGACTTCAGTCAGCAGTGCACCGTCAGGGATAGGGAGCACTGTGCTGTGCATGCAGCTGGCACCTCAGAGCTCCTTTGACTGTTAGGGCCAACGAAACTCTGCTACAGAGGAAAACATAATTTTGTAGAAGCACAGGAGTGGCTGATGCTTGGGTTCCACTGCTGCCTCGATTCCCAGTGTTTTGGTTTAGTCTGCAGCACAGATGGAAATGGCCTTTTCTGAATCGTGGAGAGGCTGCTGGAGGTGTGAAGTAGCGTGTCAAACTGCTCTTTGAAGGCATGAGGTTGCAGCTGAATTTTGCTTGATTTCAGAGAACTTTCTAAGAAATAGTCTGAAAAGAGCTGCTGTGAGAATGGAAGATTGCAGTGCAAAGGGAGTCCGGAGTTCTGCAGGAATAGCAGTGTTCTCCCTTGTGTTTGTCTGCTCCCTCCTCAGCTTTTCTGTACGCTCCTTCAGGTACTGGAAGGCTGCTAGAAAATCCTTCTGGAGCTTTCTTTTCTCCAGGCTGTAGAGCCCCAGCTCCCTCAGCCTGTCCCCGTATGGGAGGTGCTTCAGCCCTATCATCACCTTTTGGCCCTTCTCTGGACCTATTCCAGCAGCTCCGTGTCCTTCCTGTGTTGGAAGGGTCCTAGGAGAAAGCTGGGCTGATCGTAGAGGTTTAGAGGCCTTTGGTGGAAGGTGGAAAAGATCCTGTCAGCTTCCTCTGCTCTTATGTCACTCTGGAGCCAGGAGTAAGTCAGGTCATCTCCTTGGAGCAGCCTTACCCTATGGGAACTGCTCAGGACAGCCCTCCTCTCCTGACACTGCTGCAGTGCTGCCTTTGCTACTTGGATCTCTGTGTTGTAGCCTCTTGTTTGCTTGTACCTGTCAGGACACCATCATGCTTTAAGTTCTTATGTAGAAAATTCAATTCTCCCACCACGTGAACTGCAAGTTCTGAACCCTGGAAAAACAGAAACTGTTTTTTCACTCACCAGGGACTTTACCTGATTGCCACGAGATTTGAAATGTCGTAGAGAATGGCTTGGTAACCACGTTAGCCAATTCCCATAGGACTCTGGGTCACCAGGACCCATAGACTTGTGGATGCTCAGGTTCCTCAGGTGGTCACAAAGCTGATCCTAGTTTATAGAGGGAAGGACGCTGCTTCCCCAATCTCTTCCTACCAAACCAAATGTTTGAGGGCTACATGGGGAGCAGTTATCAGGGAAGGCAGAGGCTAAGATTTGTGAAGTATCTCAGCCTTCTCCTTGTCTGCTGTTACCAGCCTGTCTGTGTCACTCACTGGGGGAGCATTCCCTCCTGGACTTTCCTTTTCTGGTTCTCTAATAAGGAACAAAAGCCACACAGCAAAGCCAAAAAGCAGTAGAACCATCTGATTTTCCTTTCTGAAACTGCAAAACAGAATGTATGTAACTGATAAAAGTCTCACTGTTTAGGCCCAGCGTTATACCAAAGCAACAAATGTCAGTGACCTCTGTAGAAATAAGTAGCGCGTTTGCACGTCTTTAAACATTGGTTCATATTTGCAAGTTGAACAGCATTTTCTGACTGTGTCAGTATCAGAAAAAGGCAACTTGTAGTGTAGCTTTAGACCTTGTGATGGAGAATGTAATCTCTGCATGTGATCCAGGAACCCAAATGAAGCAGAACTGTGATGGGTTGGCACTTCTGGAAAGTAGACTTCATCCCCCAAAAACCCTCTGCGTTCAATTCAGGAGCAATTAGCTAAATTTAAGGATGAGGCGTGCAGGGTTTCTTCCAGTCCAGTCTCCTGCAATCACAACACAGTCGCAGGTTGAGCTGGCAGGGACCTCAGGGTCCTTCAGGCCCAAGGTGTGCTGTGGCAGGGATACCCAGGTGCTGGGCACCACATCCATGCAGCTCCCTCAGCTTCGCTCCCAAGCAGAGCTACTTCAGGCCCTTCATCTTCTTTGCAGCCCTCTGTTGGACTCTTCCAGCCGTTTCCAGGTCTTTATTATTCCTGGGAGCCCACGCTGATCCCAGCACTGCTGAATGGAAGGGCAGGATCACGTCCTGCTGTACCATCGGCCTCCCTGGCAGTGGGATCTCAGCGCTGCCTCACGTCATGACTGGGACCTACCAGGATCCCATGTCCTTTTCCAACCGGGTCCCCCAGGCACATCCTGCTGTTCCTCCTTGTTGGATCCCATCATTTTCTTTCAGCCCATTTCTCAGCCTGTCCAGAGCCCCGGGATGGCAGCAGGACACTGATGTACCCCCCGCTCCTCCACGCTGTTGGCTGTAAACTTGCTGAGGGTGAACTCTGCCCCATCTTTCAGATCAGTAACCGTATGCTGTACCCTCTTTCATCAACTTTTTATTAAATGCCAGTCATTTCCTCCTGCTCAGGTTTCGCCTCTGAAAAGCTTCTCCAGATTTCTTATTCTGGTATGATTAGAAAGCTTCTTTTCCATCTAAACTTGTGTTTGTTTATTCATTGTTTTAATTAAATTTTATCCTGTAAAGAGTATTTTCTGCTTCCTGACCCTTTGTCCTTTTTGTATTTTTGTGGCCATCAGTCACAACTCCAGCTTTCGGTACGTGAGCTTGATGAAACCAGGTTCTGCTTTAAGATCAGTTCTCCCTTCGATGTGTTTCTCACTGCCCTTTCCTACACCTGTTCTTCTCTAACTTTGTTGGCTGTGGATGATACAGCAGTGTGATCCGACTTCAGTGCACCATATTCCATAGTTCTTCTTCCATTTCCCATCCATGAACCAAAGCTCTCTGCAGCCACCTCACTTCTGTTCCTGCATTCAGCATTGGGTCCTCAGGGAGTTTTGATCTTTGTGCCACTCCTGTACTTCACGGTGAGTGAAGCAGTACTTTTCATAGCATCACAGCATGGCTCAGGTTGGAAGGGACCTCAAGGATCACGAAGCTCCAACCCCCACCACAGCAGGGCCACCAACCTCCTCGCTTCACAGCAGCCCAGGCTGCCCAGGGCCCCATCCAACCTGGCCTTGAACACCTCCAGGGATGGACGGGGCATCACAGCCTCTCTGGGCAGCTGTTCAGCCCCTCACCGCTCTCACAGCACAGAACTTCCCCTGACATCCAACCTCCAGCTGCCCTCCCTCAGCTTCAAACCATTTCCTCTTGTCATTCTACTGTCTGTCCTTTCAAAGAGTCGACTCCCCTTTTCCATCTGTCCCCACGTGCTGTCTGTCCTCAGCAGCACAGTAATGGAAATGCAGCACAGTTCTTGGTGTGAGGCAACCGGTGGAACACATGGTGGACAAGTCTCAAAAATTTTCTAGTACCTCATCTTTTAATTT